CGGACCTAAGGTAGATGATGGGGCTGAGGTAAGACTTGGTGGGGGCTGTCAGGCTTATGAGGTCAAGGCTCACTGGTGTCTCTGGACAGGGTGATCGTGGCTTCGATGGCCTCCCAGGGCTGTCTGGTGAGAAGGGCCAAAGGGTGAGTGTGTGAGGTCCCTCCGCCAGATCTAAGCCCTCCTCCCAGTATTCAACTCCCCCCTCTCCTCCCTCAGTATCAGAGTCATGATGCCCATGTCACTCCTCACACCCCATCTGCCTTCCCAGGGGGCTGGTCTCCCTGCCAACACCCTTCCACTCTGAACTCCCCTCTGTTCCCTCTCCAGGGTGATTTTGGCCATGTGGGGCAACCCGGTCCCCCAGGAGAGGATGGTGAGAGGGTAAGTTTGGAAGAGAGTTAGGGTCTGGTTTGGTGAGTAAGCTTGGAAGCCTGAATGAGAATCAGAGAGGAAGATCTGGAGGTCTCAGTGGCCAGCCTGAGAGCTGGGGACACACTGTGGGGTGAGGAGGTGAGACTTGCAGGTCTAGGATTGGAGTCAGGTGCCTGAATGGAATCCCATGGACTTAGTCTGCAGGTTCCCAGGGATCTTGCTAATTCCGAGACCCCCTGGAAGGGGCTGCCCAGATGAGAGGAGGTGGCTCTCCCAGGGTTGTGTCTTCCTGTTCCCAAGTAATGATGCCTTCCCACAGGGATCAGAGGGACCTCCAGGGCCCACTGGCCAGGCTGGGGAGCCGGTGAGTATCAGGGATCCCTGGGCCCCTTGCTTGGTGCAGGGGAGGGAGTCAGGACTCCCAGGGCCCCAGGACTTATAGGCTCCTGGGAACTCGCAAGGCCACACAGAGGTGATGTGGAGATAATTCGCCTGCTCCCTTGCAGGGTCCACGAGGACTGATTGGCCCCAGAGGCTCCCCTGGCCCCACGGGTCGCCCGGTGAGTGTCACTGGCTCTCTGCATCCCTGTCTGTCTTTTTGTTTGTTTGTTTTGAGATTAGGGTCTCACTCTGTTGCCCAGCCTGGAAAGCAGTGGTGAGATCTCAGCTCACTGCAACCTCCACCTTCTGGGTTCAAGCGATTCTCATGCTTCAGCTTCCTGAGTAGCTGGGACTACAGGCACCCAAAATCACACCTGGCTAATTTTTGTATTTTTAGTAGAGATGGGGTTTCACCATGTTGGTCAGGCTGGTCTCAAACTCTTGGCCTCAAGCGATCCTCCCAAAGTTCTGGGATTACAGGTCTGAGCTACTGTTCCCAACCCCTATATGTCTTTTTTTTTCTCACTTTTCTGCCCTCTGCATGGCCATATCTGTTGTGGCTTCTATGTCTGCTCAACTTTCTTTTTCTTTCTTTCTTTCTTTCCTTTTCTTTTCTTTTCTTTTCTTTTCTTTCTTTTTTTTTTTTTGACAGAGTTTTGCTCTTGTTGCCTAGGCTGGAGTGTAATGGCGTGATCTCTGCTCACTGCAACCTCTGCCTCACAAGTTCGAGCTATTCTTCTGCCTCAGCCTCCTGAGTTGCTGGGATTACATGCCTGGCTAATTTTTGTGTTTTTAGTAAAGACAAGGTTTCACCATGTTGGCCAGGCTGGTCTTAAACTCCCAACCTCAGGTGATCCACCCGCCTCAGCCTCCCAAAGTGCTGGGATTACAAACATGAGCCGCAGTACCCGGCCCCGCCCACCTTTCCACCTGCATCTCTTGGTGTCTCAGACTCAGGCTTCCCGCTTGTTGCTCTGTCTTGGTCTCACATCCTCTTTTCCTCTAGGGTGTGACTGGAATTGATGGTGCTCCTGGTGCCAAAGGCAATGTGGTATGTGCCCTGTGCCCTCTGACTCCGATTGTCCACATCCCTATTCCCTTCCATGACTGACCCCCCCGCCAAGTCAATTTCACTAACGCCTCAGCACCATGACCCCTCTCAGCTTCACTGAAACCCCACTTTCTCCTCAGGGTCCTCCGGGAGAACCAGGCCCTCCAGGACAGCAGGGAAACCATGGGTCCCAGGTTTGGACTATCTTTCCCAATAATGGGGCATGGGAGTGGTCAGCTGAGACCTTAGACCATGCCCAGGCTTCTCAACCTCCACACTCACCGCTTCTTTCTTATGCCTTCCCTCATCTTCTTTTTCTGTCCCCAGGGACTCCCCGGTCCCCAGGGACTCATCGGCACTCCTGGGGAAAAGGTGAGTGACAGCTCCACCTACCGCAACCTCCTCAAGTCTCCTTCCTTCAACTCTGTTGCCAGGAAAATTTTCCCACCAGGACCCCTCTGTTAGCTCTGGATAGTGATAAACTGCAGCATTCCCTAAGCCTGCCCAGAGTTACAAAGTGTCCTTGTTGGGGAAGGATTGGTTGCAAGAAACAGAAACCCACCAAGGCTAGCGCACATAAGGGATATTGTCAGGATACAGAGAGCCCACAGAAGCCTGTCACAGAAGATATTACCAAGATGTACGGGCCCTGCGGGCTCATCTTTGTTCCCTGGCACATCTGCTTCCGCCTTCCCTGGCAGACACACTGCTTTCTGCACATATCTTTTTTTGTGCGGCGGGGACAGCGTCTCACTCTGTCACCCAGGCTGGAGTGCAGTGGCTCAATAATGCCTCATTTCAGCCTTGACTTCCCTGGGCGCAGGTGACTCTCCCACCTCAGTCACCCGAGTAGCTGGGACTATCGGCGCATGCCACTATGCCTGGCTAATTTTTTTTCTCTCTCTTTTTTTTTTTTTTTCTTTTTTGTAGAGATGAGGTCTCCCTGTGTTGCTCAGGCTGGTCTTGAACTCTTGGGCTCAAGCAATTCATCTGCCTTGGCCCCCCAAAATGCTAGGATTACAGGCAAAAGCCATGATGCCCAAGTGGGCATTTTTAAAGAGAGGGGTGTGCCTATGAATCCTCCATTTCAACATGCCTCTTGCACTGTTTTAATTCAATTTTATTTATTATCTTTGTGGGTACAGAGTAGGTATATAC